CAAATCTGGTTCATTTTGCATATGCTCCTGCTCAAATTTTTGCACGTACGAAATCTTGTAGAACGTTTTATCTTATACAGGGTGTTGGTTTTTGCAACCGACTGCTACGTCCATTTTTAGGAGAAAAATTCTAATATTTCATATTAGAGATTTTTTGAAAAAGGATATACAGGGTGGGCCATTAGTGTGAGAAAGTAAAATAACTCCCTTGTTACTCACAATACAGGAAAAATGTTATATAAAAGTTATACAGAATCAAAAAACCTAAAGGACAAAATTAATTTGAAACACACAGGGCGATGAATGAAAACGGGACATGCCAAATATTACATTTTTTAAATGAAACACCGTGTATATTTTTAAACATATGGATTTCTGAGAAAATTCTATATATGGCAATATAAACAGTATATCATTTTAGTGCGGGGTTGCCAAGTTATGTAGAAAATTCTTCGAATTTTGGAAAAAAACATGATCTCGAAAAAGTTGTATTAACTTTCAACTACTAACACTTGGAGCAAAAATATTTGATAAAGTTATAGGCAAATGTTAGGCAAAGACTCCTATGTTAGCTAATATCAATATTTTATACAGGTCATTTTTTTATAATACGATCATTTTTAGAAAGTTTAAACTTGATTTTCTAAAATTTTTCAAATGGAACACCCTGCATTTTATTGCTCCATTTTATTCACATATCGGTCCACTTCAACTTTTATTAAGCATGTTCTATATCTAAAATTTTTTATGAAGTACCACAAATAAATATTAACTAATAAAATTAACTCAAAATGGAATGATAAATTATAAACTGACAAGTTGACACAATGTGACAGTTTTTTTCAGACATTTCGTGCCACAGAAAATCATAAAAATTAGGTTTTTTCAGAAATGTTGCTATATCTTAAAAACTAACAACTTTAAAAAAGGAAATACTTAATAAATGTTGAATTGGACTGATATGTGAATAAAATAGAACAATAAAATATAGGTTGTTCCATTTGAAAAAAAATTAGAAAATCAAGTATGAACTTTTTTAAAATGATCGTATTATAAAAAATGCCCTATATAAAATATCGATATTAGCTAATACAGGAATCTTTGCCTAACACTTGCATATAACTCTGTCAAATATTTTTGCTCCAAATGTTAGTAGTTGAAAGTTAACACAACTTCTTCGAGATCATGTTTTTTCCAAAATTCCAAGAATTTTCTACATAACTTGGCAACCCCGCACTAAAATGTTAAACTTTTTTTATTGCCATATATGGCAATAGAATTTTCTCAGAAATCCATACGTTAAAAAATATACAGGGTGTTCTAATTAGAAAATTTAATATTTTGTTTCAAATTAATTTTGTCCTTTAGGTTTTTTGATTCTGTACCACTTTTATATAAACTTATTTTCTGTATTATGAATAACAAGGGAGTTATTTTACTTTCTCAAACTAATGGACCCAAGAATTATATACAATTCTTGTAATGGACCACCCTGTATTTACGCCACTGGATTCACGACCCCCCAAAACGGGCCAATACCAAATTTTATCAGAAAATTTTAAATAATAATGATTTTGTAGCCAAATCAAAAATTCACAAGTCTACTTTTTTTTCCTTAATTTATTGTTGATAATCCAGTGGCGTATTTAGATATATTTTTTCTCAAAAATAATCCCTAATATGAAATATTAGAATTTTACTTCTAAAAACGGACGAGTACGCCTTGCATTCTGTGGGATCACGCTCATTTTGCTTCACAAAGCACACTTCGTCAAACTTTACATATTAAAAAAAGTCCGGTTAAAATCGCACAATAAATATCAAAATATTGGTTTGATTTAAGAACGTTACGCCCTTGAAAACTGTATTACTTGTAATTGCTTCATTAAAAACATTCTATTTACATATTTCTCCTGTTGACATATTTCACAATCAGCTTCGACAACGCCATACGACTTGCTCATATCACCCCCATTTGACAGTTTAATAATAGATTTCTCTAGGGTACAAGCGTCTAACACACTTGTGGTGGTTCTGTGCGCGTTACAAGAGATTATTAGATTTTTGGCTTTGTTAAGGGCGTGAATAATCTTTTTTAAGGGTGCCAAGATTATTAGCTGATGATTTGTGTGGATGTAGTTTGCTGTTTCAACACAATACCCTCTGTTCATTTCCAACACTTGTTTGGATTTTGCATGGAATGTATAAGCGTACGAAATCCGAATTTTATTTAGTTGCCTTTTTGAACAGAAATCCAAGATTTTCGAAATGCTGATGTAGATATTTTTAAATCCAAAAAATTCTAAATAACAAAGTTTTTGAACATTTTCTTGTGATCTTATGAACAGTTGTACGATGCACAAATAAACCCTGATTCCATGACAATATTGATTTTATCTCAAAAACTTATACAGAAAGGTAAAAAAGATAAGGGGAGACAGAATATTATGTGACAATTATGTAAACATATTGATTTACTGAAAAAAACTGTATTTACAATAAATGAGCATGTAATTTATGATGTGCAAATGGCTTTATACTCGTACAATGCAAACTGCAATGAATTTGGCCGGCTTCCTTTCCTGGTTAATGAATTGCAATGCACGTGGGTCGACGTTCGAACACGATCCTTGATGAGTCCGCAGAAATCCTATAGTGAGATATACTTGTAGTGATTGTTGATCACCTCTTATACGAGGACTGCTATTTGTTTTTATTCCCTATAAAAACAACTTTTCGAATTTTCCACATTTCGGGCCAATTATCCCATCGGGTCCGCGCGTTCAAATTCGCCGTGCATTAACGCGATCATAACGAAAACTGGCATAGCCCGGGGCGCTGAAACCGTATGCAAATTAGTGTTAGGATAGGTTACGCGTATGGCCGGGATGCTTTTCAGCGTTTCGGAGTTATGTAAAATGTGTAAATTTTGTAAATATTCTCACATGCTGGCTACGGCTCCAGTTTTATGAATATTCATCGCGGGCAAATATTAACGTTGCAGATTTTATATAAACCGCCACCCTTTGTTCTGTCATCCCCTCTCCGCCAGGGACGCCGCGGGGATTAAGGGGGTGGGGGGATTGGTGGAGAAAATTGACGTTCCCAAATTCTACGCGTTTCAGATTGAGTAGGATGGCGAAGTTGTTAATTTAATGAAATAAATTTTCCAGAAGATATAGAAAATATTTTTATATTTTTTTAAATAAATTTTAGAATATTTAAATATTCTAAAATTGTTTAAACAACAATTATTTTCAAAATATTTCGAAAATTAGTAATTAATTAATTAATTAATTCATTCATTATTAATTTAATCACCATTTCTTTTGTGATTAAAGTATAATTCAAATGTTAATTATTGTTTAAAATATAAGCAAATGAGAAATTAACTCATTATATTACAAAAATACAAAATTATAGTACAAAAATTCGACCAATGTTTAAACAAGCGCCAGAGCTCTCCTAATTGATGGATTCGAATTTTTCAAAAAGCGTTTGAAAGCTTGAGTTGCCCTTCTATATGTGATTAAATTTTCAAGCATCTAAGGGCCTTGGTTTTTGCAGTGCAAAATTTTGAAAATTTGCAATTTTTTTTTCAAAATCTAGATTGCAAACCAATTTTGATGAAATTTGGTGTGATGATTCTACATAACATGAACTTTTCTTGGGTCAAGTATGAAGGTCCTATACCCAACTTAAAGACCCCAAAAAAAAATCCTAAAAAGTAACGTTTTTTAACCCTGTTTTTGGCGATTTTTTCGATTTTTACAATAATAATCATGATTCATTCGATTTGTAACTAGTCATATTTTGTAAAATTTAATTACAAATATTTTTTTCCTCTTCCATTTTCGCCTAAAATCAACTTTTGAAAAGATACATAATTAAATAGGAAGAAAAATATGACATTTTTCGATTTTTTTAACATATTGTGCCGCCAAAAGTTAAGCCCACGTTTTTTTTTATGCGCATAGAAAAATTTTTTCATTTCTAGTGATATTTGAAAGCCAAAAAGCCAAAAATCTCCGTGGATATACGATTCACCCAAATATGGACTTTTTGAAACAGATACCGTCTGGACTAAAAGAACAAAAACAAAAAACACTTTCTTAAATTCATCTTCTCTTTCTATTCGCTTGGACAAAAGTAAGTTTGACTTAATTAAAAATTAAACATTTAAAGGAAACTTAAATAGGTATTTTTAGAACTCGTTACTTTCCTTTATTTTCATAAAATTCTTTTCTATTCCAAAAAATATATCTTCGCTTTGTTTTCCACTCGAATAATTTTTACATGTTAATAATTTTATGTCTACTTCTTTTTTTGTCAGTACAGTATGAATTGCTGCTATTTTTTTAGCACTAACTTCGCTCGACATAATTACACACAATTATTCATCAAACAAAAGGTGTATGCATATTGTAGAGAATTTAATTTGTTGCTTTTTAATAAATAATTTGTACGCCTATGTCCCATGGCTCAGTTCTGACAGCCCTACTTATCATACACTAATTTTTTAAATTAAAGAACCAAAGTCAAAAAATAGAGATTTTTTCAATTATTTCGTAAAATTATTTATTTGATGTAAGTATGACTAGATTTCACGTATAACATTAATAATAAGTAATTTCAATTTTTCAAATAATACACAGTGGTATGAAGAACTACCAGTATGTACAGAAGTATTAAAAAATAACAATAACCACTCTCAATTCAGTTAAATATACATTTTAAAGAGTTTTGTTAACAATGTATTTCTATGAGATCTATTTATATTTTTATTTTATTTGTCAAACGTATTTTTCCGTACAAAGTCTTTCTAAAACAAGCAGGCAAATTGAAGCAGACGATTGGAAACCACGGGTAGTCAAAAACATAGAAAAAAATTACAGTGAAATCCATATTTTTTACTCCTAACTCCCGTTCAAGATTGGCGCCTTGTCTTAGAAACATCCTGTACATTTTACATGAAAAATCAAAACATCAAAACATTCTTTTTAATTTTCATCGTTCACAGCAACCACTTCCAGAGCAGGGCTACCAACCGACTCTATATCCGTAGAACTGAGCGAATCACTAGGAGGCCCCCTGTCTGGCTTCTGCTTCATATAATCCACAACCAGTTCCAACCCAATCAACGCCCTTAAGTCCTTCACCCTTTTCTCCCGTTCTTCTTCAGTTTCTTCTTTAACATCGTCATTTTCATATAATTCTTTGTTCTCGCTTTTGTCACACCCTACGTTCTTGTAGATGGCGGTGATATTGTTCATGATGTAGTTGGTGCTAGTTTTGTTGGTGTTCTTGTCGAACCCCATCGATTTGACGTCGAACTTCGTCGCCTTGGTTTCTCTTTCCGAAAGGTTCATGGGGCTGCCCTTGTTTTTACTTGGTGTTGGTACAGAAAAGGCAGAGCTGTGCCTGGGTTGCTTAAAAATGTTGTTCAGATTCTCGCTTTCGTTTTTTATTTGAACTTGTTCGTTCTGTGGTTTCTCCTTGGGTGACGGTGGTAAGAAACTTTCTGGAGGCGTGATACTGTCCTTTTGGTTTTTCCCGTCGTAGATATGCCCAGATACTCTTAAATCTATAAAGAAATGTAATGGGTCGATGCCGTAGGGTGGGGCGGGGTACAGGGGAGGGTACCACATGGGTGGTGGCGGAGGTAGCACCAAATTTGTCGAGTTGCCTTCTTGGGACAAGCTTGGATGTAGGTTTCGGTACATTTGTTCTGATACAGTGGTTTCAACTTTAGGTGTGAAGCTTTCCATTTTGTTGTGATAAGCTTCAGAGGTTTCTGGTTTGTTTGTGAGTTCCAAAGGATTTTCCTCGATCCTCTTGTTACTCTTGATCATCCAATCAGCTGAAGTGTCCTGCTTTTCCTCTGGCTTGGTTTCAGCGTTTGATTTCTGGTAACATTCCGCTCTAGTAGTCGACCAGGTTCTTTTCCTCGACCTTCTCATTGGCGGATGTAGGACTGCTGAGTTTCTCTCTGCTTTCGCTTGGACGAAAGACCTGAGCATCTCGCTGAAGAAGTACGTGTTCGGCAGCAGCGACATGTTGTAGAGGTACGGAGGTGTTGCCGCTAATAATCTTGATACGAGATCTGTGTTGCGGAACTCGAGCGGCGACAGTCTAGGTTTTGATGGAGGGGGAAGATGTTCGTTGGTCGAAGACATCTGTAACAAAAATAGTATAGAAATATTACAAACCAGTATAAAGTTTTTTTTATAAGTAATGTTTTCATGTTATTTCGTTTTAGCAAATAATATTTTTTCACGCGAGCTGGATTCAATGCTTTCAAATAAATTTCTTCCTGTCTCAAGCCCCAGCACTCAAATCTTCACCATCTGCTTAAAGATCTCCCGTTTCTTAATTTTAATCTGCGCTTTTAGTCCCCGGGAGAAAAATGATACAATTACATCTTAATTATCCGGATTGAAAAATGCACCGCGAATCTCGTATTATAATTGAGCGCGGACAAATTGGCATCTTTATTTCTGTCCCTCGCTCTCGTATTTCCATAAAAAAAGCGGGTAATTTATTTCGGGACAACTTCTCAAGTTTTGATAAGCCATTATTCTGGAGATGCTGATGAAAATAAAGCTAGCGCTACAGTGGACCATATCAAGGAACACTGATACTTTTTTATAAAATCTTAAGTTAGGTCGATGGAAACATCTGTTAGCATCTGGCTTTAAAAATATGGGTAAAATCATAAAAATAATTTCCTGATTGGAATTTTAGTCGAATTAAACTTAAACACATTTATTTGGAAATGTATGTACTGTCTCAAACTCGATAGTATGGGCCTACTGTGAGGATACAAAAAATTTAAATAAAATATGGGACACGTGGTGTTAAATGGGATGAGGTAAGCTCCATTTTCAATAGAAAGTATTATCTTTATTTTCGTCTTTTGAAGACGAAAAAAAGTACTTTACTGTTTTCTCGTGGAAATGAACGGAAAAGAGTTTTGTGCAAAACCATACTTATCGTATCAGTGTGGCAAAATAGTGAAAAATCAAAGTGTTTAACCGGTATTAGTTAGCAGGTAATATCCTCTAAGTACTTTGTTGTTAATTGTTCTATGTAATCTTATGATTGTGATGATTATAGACGTTTGTTTCATGATAATAATTCTGTATATGTTTGGCCTTCATTGTCTTATGTTCAAGGGCATATATTTTTCTAAGGTAAAATTGTTACAATTATTATTAACGATTGCTCATTATTTATTACATGTTAAAATATGTATATATTGTCGTGACTGCCCAGATATTGCAATAACAACTCCTTTGTTTCACATTTAACTTGTTTTGTCATGATTACGTTGTTCGAAAAACAAGCAATAAAGCATTTCTTGTTCTCACTTTATGTCATACGCATATAAGAGCCCTGTTGAATTTACTAACATTTTCACCCGTGAGGAATGAATCTGTAAAAAGAATAATTGAATACAAAAAAAGAATTGCTCTGGATTGCCTCCCGTATGGGACTCTAGTACCTTGAATTTTATTGTATTTAATTGACGTTTTCCATGCATTGTATTGTGTCTCAGAAGAAATGAAGCATATTATTATTATTATTGTTGTTATTGTTATTATTGTTGTTATTATTGTTAGCCCTGCCGGCTAACTAACACCAAACCTCTTCAGTTTTACTTGGAAGTGTGTATGTCAAATTCGAGTGAGGTATAGTGATAATTTCAGCTTGCCGAAACAAAAAGTCGCGTCCAACTCTATATTTCCTTGACTATATTACCACAATAATACGAAGAGAGATTTTTGGAGCCGCTGACTTATGCGATTGATAGCTCGACTACTAACTCTATGTAGATGTGTTTACATAAATATGTAACTTATAGTTTTCATCGACAGTTCTATAGTTTATGAAGATTTTTAGTATATTTTTTTAGATACGTTGATATATTATTTAATTCAACGTATATGCAGAAACTGTAGGTATATTTTTTTATAATTTAGCCGGAAAAGTTTAGCTAGTCTGGGCAAAAACCCATCCGGAAACCAAATGTCTCGAAAAAGGTAAACAACGAGCAACTTTATAAGAATTATTTGCTGTATTCCACCGAGAAGTTTGTGTTTCTTAGCAGAACTTTGAAAGACGGCAGTTGCCAGCCGTCTAAGTAAATGCAGATGTTAATTTCGCGTTTCTCTCAGAAATTGTTGGTGACTTATTAAAATTTATAACGCAAAGTTTGAAGTGGCTCTTTTCGAATCCCCAAACTAAATATTCAAATAGTGCTTCGGTGATAAATACGCGGCTATGCTTATCTCGATATTATACCCGCTTATATTTACATGAACTTAGTCCGGCTACTTGTTGTTTGAAGAACGATCAGCCTTAAGCCAAAATTCCATATCGAATATACCAATAAAGAGTAGGTAATAATTTTAAGAAGAAAAGTGTGATAAGGTGTGTTAAAAGTAAGTAAGTGTAAGTTTTACTTTTATTGTCTTGATCATCTCCCATCATTGTCAACTTTCTACACACGATGCTTATATGATATAATTATCAGCATTGGTATTGATTGTTGTTTTTTTTTTTCTATTAGAAACTATCAGAAACATCGCGTACAGTAAGTTGAAATTGTGGGCGTAAGAAAACATCCTCGGCAGATGTTCCAAAAGGCCAATAATAATCGTGGAAAGTCTGGAATTTTAGCCTCAATTAATTTGCATTCGACAGTATTCCATTTTATTAGACATTACAAACTTTACCGAGTCTGTGTAACGAAAAGGCGAGATGACAATCTGTCAAATTAAAACTCCTTCGTCAATAAAGCGCGGGAAGCTCGGGAGAGATACCGCGAACGCTTTCCACCAGCGGCGCGCGTCTGTTTTGGGAAAATTTAAATGTTGCACAGCGCTATTTTACAGTGATGTTAAATATTTCAGTTCAGGATTTTGTATAAAGTAAATTTGTAACTCCTGAAAGACACGTACAATCACGATATGTGACAGATTCCCCACCAATAAAAGACAAGACAATTAAAGCAACTTTCCTTATTTTTTCAAAGAACGAAACTAATTGTTTTACTTTTAATAATTTTTAAATGTAATAGGGATTTCGCTAGACAATAAGAAACAGTATTTAGAACCACCATTATTTAACTTAGTGCGAAAACTAAAATTTAATTACTTAAAAATAAAAAATATATTCAAGGAAAACTTTGCCCATGTGACAATTGAATAAACGCTGTTCCATTAGAATCTAAGCTTAATAAATAAGTATTAGATCTAACTATTGTCATTGTTAAAATAATATTGAAAATCCGTCGACATTTTGTCCACTTATTTTTAAATTAATTAATTTTTTATTATTATTTTGTTTTTGCAAACTACCTTTAGGTATCTAGTAGAGGAATTGCATTTTTACCACCCCAAGGTAATCCCCAAACACCACGCCTCTGCCTGGTGGAATGGATCTGGAACGAATCTTCCTCCCGTCGTCCCCTAAATTATTTTAAAGTGAGCGTTAGGATTTAAAAGGTTTTTATTATGTTACAGCCAGAACGGGAGAGTGTTTTCTTGTGTTACAGAAAATCGGTAAAGTGGGACTTTGCATATGGCATATAACATCTTTACTATCTGTACTTACGACGATGACTTTATTCCACTGGAGGTGGTTGAATATTCATTTCAGGATGGTGTAATCAGTTTTTGAATGTTTTTTAATTTAAACAAATGATCAACAATTACTGAAGAAATAATTGTTCCAAGTTCACCTGGAAAATTAGCGATAATAAAAGAGAATTTAAATCGTAATTAAATAGCTAACAAAATATTGAAAAAACAAGTTTAATTTGCCTTAATATGTAAAAAAAAATAATTTTTTAAATGAACGATAGCTTCATTTATTTATTTAATAATAGTAAAATAATTCCGAAATTGAAATTTTAATTAATATTTCGTTTAACAATAAATTTTGTGACATTTTTGTAAATTAAAAGAAATTAAGTATAAAAGATACATTTTTTCTGGGGTTCAGGGCTATTCTACGAATTCGTAAATATGCCAATTGTTATATTTTCGACGAGCTACCCCAGTTTAAAAAAAATAAGTTTCTACGATGAATAGAAGCCGAGATATTGCAAAATTTACAGCGCGCACTTATTTGAACTTTGCATTTAACTTTTCTCGCCCGCGGGATCGCTTGGACGAGCTTCCCCCACCACTACGCCGCCGGCCGCCGGACAGTTTACTTAGCGAGTCGTGAGTCGTTAATTTTCCACATTTTTCAATGCAATTCACGGGAAATCATAGTTTACGTCGTAAACTTTATTTTGCGAAATATTCAAGTTTTAATATTTATAAACGATTGCGCTACGATTTAAAAAAAAATCTTATCTTGGCTCCTGTCGGTCGTAGGGGGTACTTTTTTTATTTTAAAACTGTATTTTTTTGCCAGCTATCCATTGCATCTATTTTCGGTGAAATAGCATAAATAGCAACAATGGTATTCAAATTGTTTATAAGCGAAAAACGCACGGTTTCTTAATGCACAATTTGAGAATGTTAATGTCAAAAAAACCGTGATATTTTTTAATAGGTCGCTTAATTGCGTCTTTAAGATTACAATGACGCTTTCAGAATCATGTTTGATTGAAAATTAACGTTTGTACAGAGGCTTAAAGTTCATAACTTTTGGAGCCTCCGCTATAAACAAATAGAATTGTGCGAAAACTATTGCACCTACAGCGCCCACTTTTGGCACACTTTTATAGTATGACAAAACCCTCAAATTGTCATAGGTTTTATAAAATTTTAACAACAAATCCGATAGTTATTGATGGTTTTCCCTGCAAAGTGAAAAAACTGTTTTCCTCACTTATTTGTTTAAATAGAAAAGTTAGCTAATAAAAGTTTTTGACTCACGAGATGAGAGATGTCTTGTATTATGTTCCTTTAAACAATTTTACAATAATCTTGCGGATAGGACTTTTTTCGAGTAAAAATTTAATTTGCTTGGTCTAGTAATTTTTTACTTATTTGCATTTTTGAGCATGTTTTTGAACTGCGATTACAGATTTTTTTATTTCATCAAAAAGTATATGTCTAAACGAAAAAAATATTTTTTTAAGTAGAATTTTTCTTTGAAAAAAAAGTGTTTCAGACCGGAAAAAATGAATATCTCGGAAACTTCTGGATTTTTTTAT